CTCTCTCGTAGCTTTTCTTTTCTGGAAATTTTAATTTTAAATTTTTGAGTCAGAATTTTGATTAAAGAAAGAAATGTTTTTACCATTCTCTTTAAAAAATGACGATGTTTGTTTGTATTCCACTTTTAAAGCAAGGTAAATATGAAAGTAAATAACACCGTATATAACCACTCCGTTATATTGTTTGCACATATATCTTTCCTTAGTAAAGATATATCTCTGCATGTGATTATACTATTTTATTCATATCTTATGCCTTTCATATATACTGATTTAATAGGATGTTGTTGACATAGCTATTTCACTGAATGAAACATCTACAAAATTTCCAGAACTACTAATATGAGATATCTTAATATATAATACATAGTACAATAATACAATACAGAATTTTATTAAAAATTATGACCGTTGAAGCGTGAGGAAATAATAGTAAATATATTTTCATATATACCAATTGCATCAATGCGTAACAATAAATAAAAAATATTCTGTTTCAGTATTAAGAGTGACAAAACAAAATATTGATTTTCTGAATATTAATAATAATGAGAATAATTAATTCTCTAAAATTTAATTTAAAAATAACGGTGAATTATTCAAGTCAATTCAAGTCTATTAAAAATAATTTAAGATTTATATAAAATATTTTCACATATATTTTCATGTATATCAAATATTATATATATTTGTATATATATCAACGTAAATAAAAAAATATTGTTTTAGAATCAAGACAAAATATTGATTTCTCAAGAATATTAATAATATACTTAGAGAATGATCAATTCTCTCCAGTTTAATTTAAAAATATCAAATTGTGCCAATTCCATTAGAATTAAAAATGATTTAACATTTGCCTACTTACTTTCTGTTAAAAAAACATCGACCTTTATCATTGTCAATAATAGTAATGGAACATGAAATACATATCGATATTTGACTGGATACATTGTTTATCGTGTTCCGTTATAGCTCCGGTTGTTGACACCACTATTGCCTGGCAAATCTTTGCCGGCCAATTATCATTTTCACTCTCTCGTCGGATTTGCAATTACGTTGCTGATTACGTCAATCGAAGCGCATTCATTAACGTGCCATCGCGCAACAACCAGCGTGGAATGTATTATACCATATCGTGAACTAGGATAGATTTAAACCACAATGTTGTTCCATATGCAGTACCAAATGGTACAGATTCATATGTTCAGAGTTAATATGTTTTGTAATAAATAATATACATGCATATTGAATATATGTAGATATTATATATATATATATA